GATTAAAAGTAGTCCTAAAATTTTCTTCTTTTTTACTACATTTATATGCATTAATATTTGAGTTATAACTTAATTTTATGGACCTTTTAATGTTTTATCATTAATTGGTATATTCTTTGCTAATGCACAAATAATTGCATTGAAATATCGTTACTCAGCGCTTATATAAGCACTAAAATATTGGTAAATATGCTTGCAAATATGCTCGCAAAACACCAAAAATTAAGTACAGCTCAATGTTTTGTTTTTTATTCAGTTTATTTCAAGGATTTGAAAATTACAACGGACAAACAAGTGCTGCTTGATATTCGTGGTTTTAATTTTTTAAAAATTCGTTATTCTCCATTTGAGATAAATTATTTTAATCCCTTTAATAAGACCAATGCCTTCCCGTAAAGACGAATAATAGCTATTTACTCAAGGCTTAAAGGTGAGAAAAAAATCGATAGCGACTGTCAAAATTGGAAAGACCAATTTTTTCTTTTTGGAATTTAAAAACAAGAGTTTAGAGTATATTGTGCAAAATTTCACTGCAATCGCGGGCCTAGAATATATAAATAATTGCAATTGTTTAAATTATTGTTATTAAATAATTAATGGTTTTGCAAATTTTATTCTGCAAATCTTTTTATTGTAAAGGGAAAAGCTTCAGCAACTCTCAAAAAAAAATTCATCAAATTTCATCAAATGGGTCGCGAGTTACGAATTTTTCTCTCAGAAATTGCAATATTCTTATAATACCAAAAAAAAAACAAAAACGAAGTGCAATTTCGAAAAACCGTCCAAAGTGTATTTTTGTTCTATAATTATCTACAGATTCCAACAATTGTCTTCACTTTCCAGAAAATCAATGAAAATTCATTGACACAGTTGGCGTGGATTGACTCGTAAGTAAACATGGTACAATAAAAACAGGTAGAAGCCAAATTGACATTAAACCTACAAAAGTCAAAGTTTTCGGGAGAGTAAAAATAAAAATGAGCGTGTGTAAGGAAAAATAAAAAATTCCATTTCACTGGTTGACGTTTTTAAGTAAATTTGAAGTTTAATTGTATTTATTTATTTTCTTTAGTTAAAATTTGTTAATTTGTTTGTTGTTTTCTGTCTTTGATTTATGAGTTGCAGTGTTGTTGGAGGGACTTTCCGGCATAAGGGTCATAGGAACAGCACTTGGCATCAAACGTGCCTTTTGTACCTCCCGGTGCATTTATGAAATCTGCTGCTTTAAAATGTTTAACGCACAGCAAGGTATTTCGCTGCAGCTCTACCCCACAGCTGCTTTCCCAACGCTTCTTACGCTAAGGACATTGAGGCACGTTAAAAAATTAGTGGCCTCTGATTTATATTTAACACCACATAAAAACAAGGCTTCAGGTGCTGCATTTTTAACACATGCACTAAGTATAAGCCGCACAACACTACAAAAATTCAAATGTTAATTCAAATTTGTTTTTAACGAATATTCAAAAAAAAAACAAAAATCAAGCGACATGACATCTAAAGCGTAACGAAATATAGGAAATAAAAGAAAACCAAGTTGAAGTTTAAAGGTTTGGTTCTCATGAGAGCAATGTCATTTTGGCTTCTACCTGTATTTATGTGCCTTGGTAAGTAAATAGCAAAGAAAATATAACAGGCTAAACTTCAACTTTCCTATCTTTCAGTGTTTAATATCTCGGAAACCACTTGACCGATTAGAAAAGTATTGATGCCAAATCAAAGGTAATTTTAATACCTTTTTTACGACGAATTTACCATAGCCGTTTATAAAATAAAAATTTTAGGCAAACGCCTTTAAAAAAAATAGATATACAATTTCGATTTTTACCACTAGTTTCGTTAAATTGTGCCTTACAAAAAACCTTTTTATATAAGAAATAGCTTGTACTTTCTAAATAATATAAATTTCTGTAGCATTAATTATGCAGTTTTCTTCAAAAATTCTGATTTTATGAAAAAGTTGATTTCTTTTTTGTTTTTTAGAATTTATGTCTTAAAAATATAAAAGTCATAAAAATTATGTACATCAACTGAAAGATAAACTAATCATCTTTATTCTGACATCATTAGTTGTTTAATCGGTTATGTAGTTCATAAGATATTGACATTTCCAAATATCGAAAAATTTAACTTAACCTCCTATATCTTCTTAATTTTTTACATGCGCTAAAAAAGACTGAAATCAGCATGAAGAGTTCTAAGAGTTCTAAAAATATGAGCTTCAATTTTATCCCCTTTATTTTATTTTTTATAACAATGATCTCTAAAAATGTGAGTTCAAGTATACAAACATATTTACAATAAAAAACATAAATTTTTTCCCCTTAAATTTTTCCTTTTAAACTTAGAAGTATTATACAAACACAATTCAAAGAATTAAATAAATATTTAAAACTATCACACGTATTTTCTTATTTGAAATGATAAGGTTATCCAATAAGGCGGAACTTTTGTAAGTGAACGAACTGTTCAATTAAACGAGTATCTGTTAATTGATTCCCAGGTTAAATGAACCAAAAATGTCGAAATTTTTCAAGTGCAATTAAGTGGGGAATACTGTAGTCAATGAATGTCGCAACGATTGCATTACTTAACGTCTTTGATTGAGATGACATTTGTTTTCCCATACATTTTTTTCCTAATGTCTTATGCAAATGCCAGAAGTTCTTACTTATATGCAATCTGTATATACATACATATGTATGTATGTACTTAATACCAAAACTACCAAAAACATATGTATATATGTATAGAAAAATCTAACACTATTTAGAAAATACAGTTCCATTTGTCAAAATTTCTTACCCAAAAGAGTTCTGTTTTTTTTCCAGATAGACTTAAAGCCAATCGTTTCGATTGCAATAACCCTCCACTATTTACCACACAAACGATAATAATTTTCACGGCATCTAGCTTTCCAAATGAACCTTTCCGAACTTGTTACAGCACAATTATACTGTCAAAAGTGCTGTGTTTCTTTGTTTTATGCGCTACAGCGACTATAACTCGTTAACTTTTTGATTTGCTCGTATGAAATGTGCGATCAGTGTTATAAAACAAATCAATAAGAAAAAACTTAGTTGCTAAGTTGATATCTCGAAATAAATATGTACGTCGCACAGTGTGATTTTTCATCAATCTAGCTGATATTAAATCACGGATTAAATATATGATTTATAATACTATTTTTACTTATCAATTAGTACTCAAACATAAATATATCATTTTCACACAATTGTGTTCATGTTTTTTTGGTCTTAACCTTTTTTTTAATTTTTATTAAGCTCATTATTTATATTCCCATATTTTTAAGACTACAATTTCATTTTATTTAGCATTTCATAAATATTTATAAACGTGAACCAGTTTTTAGTATATTGAAAAAAACTTACTAAAGTAAAAATACAAAATTTATTTAATAAGAGAAATATGTATTGCAAACCTCCAAATAAATCTAATCACTAAAACTGAGTTAGACTCTTCATCTAGGTCTGATAGGTCAGAACGTTGCTCAAAATTTACTTCTGGGTCGGACAATAGTTTTAGTACTTCTTTATATAATGTCTTTTTTTAATGTTTAGTTAATTTTTCGATATTGGGGATATTAAGGGATCAGGTGACAAAAGTAAAATATTAAATAAATCTTCCATAGTCTTACTACGCGGCATCTTTCTGTGTTATCTTGTCTATGTCTCTTAAAATCCTTAATTCTACTCTCCAATGCTTCCTCTGAGAACATTCCTATTGGAAGTACTGCAGTTTTAATTACGCCTGCCCCATGCATTAAAATTTTGTGGATGCTCGTGGGCATGTAGTACCATAGGTAAAAGTCCACAAATATTTTTGCGGTTGAAAACGCATTCTTTCGAAATGTTTCTGAATTGAGGAGAATCCGCCTGACATAGTTTGGAGTATGATAGCAAATTTTCATCAATTCCTGTTATTTCTGAAAACAACAAGGACTCCGAAAAAGCGTCTGGCTGTATTGCCATCATTGGTCGTCCCAAAACCTTGTTTTGGAAGATCTAGTAATAAACCCACTTCTGCTTTAAATCTTTGTATAATCAAACCTTTTCTAACCACTTTTGATTTTTATTGCGAAAATCTTTTAAGATACGCCTGCAACTTTTCCACTTACTCGTAAAATTAAAAACTGCCTTTCTGACTTCAGTCACTTAAGTTTAATCCATTTATGACATATGAAAGAACAGTCTTGTTTTCGTCTTTTGCATCACTTTTCTGATGCCCATTTTCAAAAAGTTCTTTCCTTAAAATTGACATATTTCCTGAAAAAGGAGAATGCATCAAGACCTGTACTTTCCAGCAGCTAAAGATATGTTATTTAAGGCCTAAGATTAGCGCCACTTAAACTAAAATCAAAATTAAATCGAATAACCACGGATAACGAGTTTGCGAGTCTTGTTAAACTTATATACTGCTAAAATTAAATTTAATCCAACATCAAGTTACCATAACATGAAGAACTCAGTCCTAGTTCATTAAAATCACAAAAATTCATTTTCACTAAATACAACATACCTTGAAAAGTAAGTTGAAATGGTATTCTGAATAAGGTCCTCTCCCGCTATAAACTTTAGTTTCACTTTTCTAGTTTTTATTGTTTCCTCTTTATCAAGCATTTATTATACGAATTTTACAGTTCGATTTGAATTTCCATAATATAAAATTATTTATTTAATATTTTCTTGATAATTGAAATAATACACTGTGCGTCACAGACACACCGCTCAGCTCTTATACCTCTTTATAGATTTATTAATAAAAGTTGTTTTACGGGTTGATAACTCAATAACTATGTAGTGTATTTTTAACAAGCGCGTGGAAGCAGGGCCTTGCCATATACATACATATGTATACACATACGCATATGTATGACCTATGTATGTATGTATGTATGTGCATGTGTATTCGACTGCTTTGTTGCACACTATAAAATCTGATAGGCGTAGATATATAGTGATTGGTATGACAGCAACCACTTTAGTTCGCAACGGAAAATTAAGCCACCCAGACTGAGTTAAGCGTATTAAAATAAAAAATGTTCTCTTTGTTAGTATTTCCTCGAAATGTCCACAGATCTTATATTCTCCTCCCTGCAAATGCTTAAGGAGTATTTTGTTGCAAAAAGTGCAGTAATGGCTCTCTCCTGACGAACAGGAGCTCAGAAAGGAGGCGGGTACAGAATTTTAGATGAGAGGGTGCGATTGGTTTCAACAGGTAAACAAAAATCGGTTATAATCTTGAAAATTCGTTACAAATGTTAACTTTTAATAGATGGGTGGCGTTTTTCGAAATCCAACATGATTGGTTTCACTTGAAATTTGTTACATGGAGGGTTTCGGAGTAGCTGATTACCAAGGCCGAGAAATATATGCATGAACAAGTAATTTTTAGCAAAAAAAAATACCGACTTAAAAAATATATATATATATCTATATATTTCATGATCCAGTGATCGGATCTAAACCAAATTAGTATGGGACCACCCCTGAGACACTACCGTTGCAAAAAGAATTATTGAAATCGGTTGGCGTGGTGCAAAGTTATGCGGTAACATACATAAAAAAAATAAAATAAAAAAATATTCCGACGAACTGATAACCTCCTCCTTTTTTGGAAGTCGGTTAAAAACGGAATAGCTTAATGTTTTTTTATTCAGTTTTTTCAAGGATTGAGAAATTACACTGGTCATTCACATAATATTCTCAAATAATGAAGATCAGCGCTTGGCGTTTTAGAAAGTTTAATGACGCCAAACGACCTTCCGACATCCATTGATGTTTCTAGACAGAATTTAAAACAAGTAATTTTTAGCAAAAAAAACCGACTTCAACTCCCATAAAAAAAAATATATATATATATATATATCTCATGATCCACTGATCGGATCTCAACCAGATTAGTATGCGACCACCTCTGAGACACTACCTTGCAAAAAGAATTATCGAAATCGGTTGAAGTGGTCCAAAGTTATGCGGTAACATACATAACAAAANTGCAGTGGTGTTAGTGCATCGATGTACTATGTAGTTGTCACATTTTTTATCTATTATTAAAAATAGTGCAGGTTATATTACACAAAGTTACGAATCCTTCAATTATTTTCCAAATTGAATTTAATATTTTTAAATACTCCATGTTATACATTTAATAATTTATTTTTAATCTCTTCAAAACCAATGCCCTCCTATAGACACAAACCTTTGGTTTCAATTTTTGTATCCAAGGAGAAATGTCATTGAAGTTAGAGTTAAAAAACTCTGTTTTTATCGCATTATTTGTAAACATTTGTTTTGTTGGACGAATAACATCGGGATTTTCAACGCTTATATTAAGCTGCTTAAAACCCAATTACATAGAGTAACCAATGCCCTCCCGTAGACACAAACCTTTGGTTTGCAATTTCTGTATCCAAGGAGAAGTTAGAGTTAAAAAAACAAATCTGTTCTTATCTCATTGTTTGTAAACATTTCGCCACTAGACACGAATAAAGGCGCGCGCTCAAAAGTTGACCGCGAAAACAGGCGCATAAGAAAAACTTCAGCGAAGGAAGACTCTTAACATAGTTGACGGCGAAGCAAGACGCGTTAAAATATTTGACGGCGAATAAGGACGCGTAAACTTTTCTTCGCGGTCAACTATGTTTGCGGTTGTAATAGTATGTACATTCCGTAAAGAGTTTTTGGCGAATAATGCTGAAGTAACAGTCCTTGGCCAAGTATAAATCTATGATTACGCGTCTTTCTTCGCCGAAGTTTTTATTAAGCGCATTTTTTCGTAAAATTTTTTTATGCGTCTTTTTTCGCCGTCGAGACACTAGCGGCGCCTTTGTTCGTCTCTAGTGACGATTTATTTTGTTGGACGAATAACATCGGAATTTTTATCGCTTATATTAAAGCTGCGTAAAACCAAGTAAAGAGAGTAAATACAATACACATACATACATACAATGCAATGTACAATAAAGCTGGTTGTACAGTAAGTTGAGCATGTTTATCTATCTATATCTATACTAATTATATAAAGAGAAGTCCATTTTTTTTGTAACAGGTAATCTCGCGAACGGCTGCTCCGATTTTCATGAAATTTTGTATACAAATAGCTTTCGGTAACCACCATGTTTTAGGCTAAAAAAATTTTACTTTTTTTCGGGTAGGTGGACCAGGGACCGGTCTATTCCAAAAAATCTTATTATAGTCCGATTTGCTTAAAATTTAGTACGTAAGTAGCTTTTTAGCATATATTAGCATATATGACCCATTTTTTCCGGGAAGTGGTCCAGGGACCGATCTATTCGAAAAAATCGAATTTACAATCCGATTTGCTTAAAATTCGGTGCGCAGGTAGCTTTTTAGCATGTACTAGCATATGTGATCAATTTTTTCCGAGAAGTGGACCAGGGACCGATCTATTCCAAAAAATCGCATTTATGGTCCGATTTGCTTAAAATTCGGTACGTAAGTAGTTTTTAGCATATATTAGGATACTAGCAGACCCGGCAAACTTCGTCCCGCCCCAAATTTTTATATATTTTATTAAAACTTTTCGGTCCAACATTTTCACCAACAATTCACGTTTACGATTTTCATTGGCACATTTGTCTGCTAAGATTAAGGTTTGGTGGTCATTTGCCGCTTTAAATAACCTAAGGAAAGTGTTATATCCGTTCTTGAAATTCTCCAGTTGTGCGGCATTTCATAGCACGGTTATTCGCAAAGCGAAATA